AATAGCTGCCAGTATTGAATAGAAGTCAAGAAAGTACTGCTTAGTTCGGCGAACTAACTACACAAACAACCACGATTGAACCGCCAAACTCTCACTTAAAACTCTGTCTTAAGTCATTTAACTAACAGTACATTTATAACTGTATTTCCATACAGAAAGTCTATAAAATACAAACACTGAGGTAGCTTGATTTACCAGTTGCTATTCTGAAACTGAGGGAAAATGGCGTCTGGAAGATTCTTCAGTGACAGCGCTGCATAAATACCAGGATGTTGGAAATAACATTGGCAAGTGTTGGTTACCTGTAACACTGTGATTTTACACCGAATCAAATCAGCTTCTATCTCTGATAGTGTTAATTTCTCAAAATCTAACTCTATAACGTCAACACTTTACTCTGACATGCTTTAACACTGGGAATTTAACACTGACGTATTTGCAGTGTGGATTAATCCGGAATTCAGTTTTCTTCGGCCTAAAATCATGACCCACGTGAATCATGCAGATCAGTAATACACAATATTGGAGTGGGGGGTCTTGCAAATGGCCATAAGCAATTAGCTAAATAAACTGCCAAAAGATTTTGTTTTGTAAGACATCACGGACGGAATGGTCCTGAGAGCACTGTACGAGCTCACGCCGCCATCTGCAGGACAGTTAAAAGTATCAAGTATCAGTTCAAATGTAGAATTTAATAAATTTGAATGCAAATAAATGCTGTTCATTGAACTTTCTATTTATCAAAGAATCCTAAAAAATAAAATATATATTACAATTTTCACACAACATATATGACAGCACAACTGTTTTCAACATTGATAATAATCAGAAATGCTTCTTGAGCAGCAAATCAAATTGTAATGTTTTCTGAAGGATCATGTGACACTGAAGACTGGAGTAATGATGCTGGAAATTCAGCTTTGATCACAGAAATAAATTACATTTTATAAAATATTAAAATATAAATATTTTTTTATTTGTAATAATATTTCACAATATTGCTGTTTTACTTTATTTTGATTAAATAAATGCATCCTTGATGAGCAGAAGTGATTTATTTCAAAATCATTAATAAGTGTAATGTTTCCAAACTTTTTGCAGGTATTTTAATAATAACAATTCTATTAATACTTTATTTATATTATATTATATTATAATATAATGTTAATTATTATCATGATTATTAAATGCTGTTTTTATTTTGAAAGGACAATCGTATGTATTATTACAATATAAGATATATTTTTTAATGTGATTTTATATATATATATATATATATATATTAATAATAAGTGATGGGGGCGTGGCTTTTGGGGGGGGGCGTGGTCAGATTTTCCTGCTTTTTTGTCTCTAGATTTCTGTAAGGCCTGAGCATTACAGAAATCCCTAAAAATGTTCTGTTTCTTGTTAAATTGCTAC